TGTGTGTGTGTGTGTGTGTGTGTGTGTGTGTGTGTGTGTGTGTGTGTGTGTGTGTGTGTGTGTGTGTGTGTGTGTGTGTGTGTGTGTGTGTGTGTGTGTGGTGTTTACAAACAGGTAATACCATGTCCAGTGGCCATTCAATTTACAGTTCATTGATAGAATCTCTCTCTCTCTCTCTCTCTCTCTCTCTCTCTCTCTCTCTCTCTCTCTCTGTGTCCTTCCTTTTCATCTACCTTACCCTCCCTCTTTATCTTTATTTGTCTCTCCTCTCTTTTCTTCTTCTCCCTCCTCTCCTTACTTTCATCTGCCCTTCTCTCCCCTCCTCTCTTCGTTCTCCATCTCCTTCGGTCGCTCCTCCAGCCCTCCTCCCATCCTCCCTCCTGCCTGTTTAAGCCTCGTTCCACCACCACGGCACCACGAACAAGGCTGGGTGCGATAAGAGTGCCTGTGACCCTTATTCACATGTAAATGATTCTGTCAACACTAACGGTGTGTGTGAGAGAGAGAGAGAGAGAGAGAGAGAGAGAGAGAGAGAGAGAGAGAGAGAGACAGAGAGAGACAGAGAGAGAGAGAGAGAGAGAGAGAGAGAGAGAGAGAGAGAGAGAGAGAGACAGAGACAGAGAGACAGAGACAGAGATGAAGCGTGCGAAACTAACCCCATGAGTTACCAAACTCAAAGCATCCATTACCCCCACCCCCCCACTCTCCATTAATTCACCCTTCCTCCATTGCCTTCCTCACCCCACCCCACCATCACCCCCTCCCCCTCCCCCTCTGCAATAATTCAATAGATAGCATTCTAGACCAGAACACCAACTGCTGCTTTAAAACCGCAATGAGAGTTGTCACTAGTCTCCAGTGCCAGTGCCAACAATGTGGGCAGCCAACTACCCAAACACCTCTAAAACCAACTACAGTAAACAGGGACATGTATAAGGTTAGGTTAGGTTAGGTTAGGTTAGGTTAGGTTAGGTTAGGTTAGGTTAGGTTAGGTTAGGTTAGGTTAGGTTAGGTTAGGTTAGGTTAGGTTAGGTGACTATACCACAATCTCGTCTTAATTAACTCAACAAGAGTCACGTAATAAGAGTGTTTCTGTTGACATTGTTATTATGAGTCTTCGTACACCTGTCTGATGTACTAATTAGTGGCAGGTTTACAGGTGTTTGAGGAGATACAGGTGTAGTAGAAGGTACAGGTGTGTGAGGAGGTACAGGTGTGTGAAGAGGTACAGGTGTGGTAGAAGGTACAGGTGTGGTAGAAGGTACAGGTGTGTGAGGAGGTACAGGTGTGTGAAGAGGTACAGGTGTGGTAGAAGGTACAGGTGTGGTAGAAGGTACAAGTGTGGTAGAAGGTACAGGTGTGGTAGAAAGTACAGGTGTGGTAAAAGGTACAGGTGTGGTAGAAAGTACAGGTGTGGTAAAAGGTACAGGTGTGTAAGAAAGTACAAGTGTTTATTACCTTACTGCTCACCTGCCTGGCACCTGTGATACACCTGGTGGCGTTACTCTGGTTTACTGCTCCCCCCCCCCTCCTCCTCTCCCTCCCCTTCTTACCCTCACCTCTCACCGTGGATTATAACCCTCACTCTACCTCTCACAGCCTCTCACTTCTCTCGCCTCTCCCCCTCAATATACCTCTCACTTCTCTCGCCTCCCCCCCTCACTCTACCTCTCACAGGGGTTTATAACTTTCGCAAACTCTCACAGGCTGGATCGCTTTCCCCTCCCACTCCCTCCCTCTCCTCACACACACACACACCACACACACACACACACACACACATTTATTCAGGAAGGCTTTTAACCTTGTTGATCACTGCACTGTTATCAACAAGGGCTCTCTCACTCTCCCTCCACACTCCCCTCCCTCTCACTCACTCTCCCTCCCCTCTCTCTCACTCTCCATCCCTCATTCCCTCACTCTCCCTTCCTCTCCCTCTCCTCTCACTCCCCTCTCTCCTCTCTCTCTCCTCTCCCTCTCTCACACTCCCTCCCCTACCTCCCTCCTCCTCTCCCTCCTCTCACTCTCCCTCCCTACGCATTGGGATTAGGTTAGGTTAGGTTAGATTAGGTTAGTTGGGTTGGGTTGGGTTGGGATTGGGATTAGGTTAGGTTAGGTTGGGTTTGGGTTGGGTTGGATTGGGTTGGAGTTAGATTAGAGTAAGGTTAGGTTAGGTTAGATTTTGGTTAGGTTTATGTTAGATTAGGTTAGGTTAGGTTAGATTAAGTTGGGTTAGGTTAGGTTAGGGTTAGGTTAGGTTGGGTTGGGTTGGGTTAGGTTAGGTTAGGTTAGGTTAGGTTGGGTTGGGTTGGGTTGGGTTGGGTTGGGTTAGGTAGGGTAGGTTAGGTTAGGTTAGATAGGTTAGGTTGTTAGGTTAGGTTAGGTTGGGTTAGGTTGGGTTAGGTTGGGTTAGATTAGTTAGAGTTGGGTTAGGTTGGGTTGGGTTAGGTTAGGTTAGGTTAGGTTAGGTTAGGTTAGGTTAGGTTAGGTTAGGTTAAGGTTAGGTTAAGTTAGGTTAAGGTTAGGTTGGGTTAGGGTGGGTTAAGGTTAGGTTAGGAGTAGGTTAGGTTGTTGTACAGTTAATAAAAATATTATATGTCAAAGTCTGTTTCTCTCCACTTCTCTTTTAGTATGCTTCCCTTCTCTTCTCTCATCTTCTCTCTCCTCCACAGTCATCTTCCCTCTCCCTCTCCTCTCCTCTCTCCTCCACAGTCATCTTCCCTCCTCTCCTCCTTCCTCTCTCCTCTCTCTCTGATCATCTTCCCTCCTCTCCTCTCCTCTCTTCTCCTGATCATCTTCCCTCCTCTCCTCACCTCCTCCTCTCCACAGTCATCTTCCCTCTCTCTCTCCTCTCTCCTCCACAGTCATCCTCTCCTCACTCCTCTCTCTCTCTCCTCCACAGTCATCTTCCTCCCCTCCTCTCTCCTCCACAGTCATCTTCCTCCTCTCTCCTCTCTCTCTCTTCTCTCCTCCACAGTCATCTCTCTTCCTCAATCTTCCCCTCCCTCTCCTCTCTCTCCTCCCACAGTCATCTTCCCAGTCCTCCCTCTCTCACTCACCTCTCTCCTCCACAGTTATCTCCTCCTCTCCTCTCCTCTCCCTCTCCTCCACAGTCATCTTCCCTCCCTCCTCCTCCTCTCTCTCCTCCACAGTCATCTTCCCTCCTCTCCTCTCTTCTCTCCTCCACACAGTCATCTTCCCTCCTCCTCCTCTCCTCTCCTCCTCAGTCATCTTCCCTCCTCCTCCTCTCTCCTCCACAGTCTCTTCCACCTCTCTCTCCTCTCTCCACAGTCATCTTCCCTCCCTCTCTCACTCTCTCCTCCACAGTTATCTTCCCTCCCTCTCTCTCCTCTCTCTCTCCTCCACAGTCATCTTCCCTCCTCTCCTCTCTTCTCTCCTCCACAGTCATCTTCCTCCTCTCCTCCCTCTCTCCTCCACAGTCATCTCCCTCCTCTCCTCTCCCCTCTCTCCCTCCACAGTCATCTTCCCTCCTCTCCTCACACCCTCTCCTCCACAGTTATCTTCCTCCCTCTCACCTCTCTCTCCACAGTCATCTTCCCTCCTCTCTCCTCCACCTCCTCTCCTCACCTCTCTCCTCCACAGTTATCTTCCCTCCTCTCCTCTCCTCTCTCCTCCACAGTTATCTTCCCTCCTCTCCTCTCCTCTCTCCTCCACAGTTATCTTCCCTCCTCTCCTCACCTCACCAAACTGAGGCTCTCTGGAGGGGGATGGTTGCCAACTCACAATTATCGGGAGCTTTATTCATCATTGACCTTGACCTCTGACCTACTGACCCCGATATCGTAAGGACTATGGAGAGAGAGAGAGAGAGAGAGAGAGAGAGACCAAAAACAGCAACGTCAACTCACACTACCCGATAATAATTTGATTTTTTTTTCCAGGATTAGCCCACCTGAGCACAGGTTACTGACCCACAAGGACCTGGGGGCGAAAATATAATAACAATAATATTATTAATAATAACAACAATAATAATAATAATAACAATAATAATAATAATAATAAGTGTAAAGGCCTGGGACTTAGGGACAGAAATCCCTTGCCAGCCTAATCAGGATCTTATAAAAGGAAAGTCAAGAACCACGGGTTTCTGAGGGGTAACAAACAACCGTTCGAGATGGACATCTGTTTACTATGAAAATAACACAAAACTCGGACACCACTCACACGAACATCAAATAACAATTACGGGAGTCAAACAATTATGAGAATCAAACAATATAGAGAATATTTCCTATGGCGGTGGCCCAGTGGAAGGTTCCGTAGAGCGGGGATCAACTCTCAAGGGGAAGGTCAAGGCAGCTTCCTCAATTGGCGTCGGCATTGGCGAGCGAGGTCTTTCCACACAGGAGTGACGCCGTGGCACAGACGGTGTGGATGAAGTGGCGATGACGTGGCAGCCGCGGTAGTAGCTGAGGTAGGTGTCCGGAGATTGACAGTCGATTTGTGAAGGTCTGGGGAAACAGCCCACGAGTCCAGAGCCTCAGATGAGAACACAACCAGAATTTGAACGAGCAGCGGGGAAGTGCAGCTGTGGTGCTGGCTGGGTAGTGTCTGATCTGTGCGTCTACTGTAGGCAGCAGTCACGTTCTCACCTTCGTCTACCCCCCCCCCCTCCCTAGTGGGGGACGCGAACAAGCAAGCGGGCGGCGAACAATCATCCTGCTCATGCAGCCCTGACAACAATAATAATAATAATAATAATAATAATAATAATAATAATAATAATAATAATAATAATAATAATAATAATAATAATAATAATAATAATAATAATAATAATAATAATAATTAATAATAATAACAATAATAATAATAATAATAATAAAGG